AAATATTTATTGTATAGATCTACTGAAAAATATTTATTCGATAACTTGAATCATGGGATAGAGCATACAAATACCGCCTATAAATTAAGCACGAATTGATGGTAAGGCGTTATCATCATCATTAAACTAGACTATAGTGTAGGGGAAATGAACAGCGTCCTGTGAATAGAGCAAATGCTTTTATCCTCCTTATAAATGTATATGTATGTCTAATAAATGGAAATAAATTTTAAAAATCTTCAGGACATACAATAGTAATGGTCTTCATATGCCTAATAATTTAACCCCACGATATGAACCTATGTGAGGATATCATGTAAGATGCATTTACATAAAATACAGGGGAACGTAAATTCGGGAATATATCCGCAACAAGAAGCATTAACAAAATGAAATAATGTTATGCCGTTAATGCAATTTGCATGTAAAGTGACCCGGCGGACGGTATAAACCTTTGAAATTTGAAACGTTAACGACGGTCGCAAGCGTTTCCCCCCCCTCATTTTACGAAGTAGGCCAATACCATTTTTTTTACATGTCTGATCCACTGGCCTATATATAAATACTCTGTAAAACAAGTCGGTTTATCATTGGCCACCCGCATAGCTTGCAAATCGGTTAGAGCGTGAGACTTGTAATCTCGACATTGTGGGTTTCGATTCCCGGGCGGTGGCAAACTAAAATTACTAATCAGTCCTTTGTCTTTCGGATGAGACTTTAAATCGAGGTCCCGTGTATGGGTGCTTAAACATTTGGGCACGCTAAAGAAACAGAAGAAGCTTCTGGAATTGGGGCATCTTTCTGTATCTGTAATTGCACTATGACTAATACTCCTCTGGAGGACTCGCCCATATGGGCAAATCCGGTGGCGAGTATAATAAACGAAAAACCCCCACACGTATCATTAGCGTCCGCGGCCGAAGCGCGACACCCTTATAGAACGAAATCATATTTTGTGAAAAGGCAATTGCAAATTCTCGAAGCGCTTTTCGTCGGCCATAATAGCCAAACATTCCGATTGGTATGAGTGTTTTGATAATCAAAAATGAAATGTCGCGATATGTAAAATGAATAGTTGAACTGGATAATTTCGCAATGTAAACATATTCAAATGAAATTATCTTATCCCGTCAATTAATCGCGCTCTTCGGTATTTTTTATTAATCATTTTGTAGTACACAGTGGGTTATTATGTGCGTTATTGGCTTTACCTATAAATAGAATGATGACCTGAACATTGTGAAAGTCCGAAAAATCTATTTATAGAAGTAGTTTTTAGTTTACCGAAACGGTCATTGGTGTCGCAACGAACTGGATAATTTTGCAGAAAATGAAATGGAAACATATTAGAACAATTAATTGCAATCTTTAAGTAGGCAATTTTTTACGAATTATTTATCATAGTATTATCATTCTTCGTCTGCAATGTTAACATGGTTTATTGATAGGCATGTAAACACACTGATGGGTCAAGACTAGGTCCATTAAAATAGTAGATTGACCTCCAAATAAATCAATTAACAGACTTTTGCTCATTTTGACTATTATGTTGATTTTCCAAAGAAAATACCACATGAATTGAAAAATTTCCCAAAGCAAAGGGGGACCAATTTTTAATGAAAATATCCAGAAATCCCCCTTTTATAAAAAAAAATTTACCAATATAGGGGGTTATTTTTTGGATATTATAGCCCTGTATATTTTGGATATTATTTTTAAAACTTTGGGTAGAATTAAATTTCCCTTTGGGGAAAAAAAACATTTTTAAAAATTTTCCAAAAATCTTTATCAGGGCTAAAAAGTTTCATGATAAACAAGGGTCTTTCGCCCCCCAATTCATGGGGGGAATACGAACTTTTTAAAAACCCAAATAACCATTAAAAAGTTTATAAGAAATCGGGTACCCAGATGTCTACAAAGTTCATTTTGGGTTGCTTGCGGGCTTTTCTTGGGTTTTGGAGCGCCCCTTGATGGTTTGTCAAATTCCCTGGTCTTGTATGTATTGTAATAGGGACCTGTATGATTTTTATATGAGCTCTTGTAATGTCCGCAACCTTCCTTCTGCTACCGCAATAAACGCATTATATGTCTTATATTTATATAATTTTGCTGCATCAAAATGTATCATACATACGAGAAAAATAAAAGAATCATACAACTAAGAAACAAAATTGTCATTATTTGTTAAAAGGAATAAATATAACGCATAACCGAATTTTCAAGCGGGACTGTTAAATTTTTTAAAACAAATCACAATAAAAGAAACCATAAGGGTAAAAATAAAGTAGAATGATTTACACAATTGTATAAACCAAGAACATAATAATCACACTGGTGAATAGCTTTCGCAGACACGGGTGGGTCATCGAAGCGGCGGTGGAGAATTTCGTCGCAGAAGCGGTGGATAAAATATGGGCTGTTTGCTGCTGTCGGTAAGCTTATGACGGAATTTTGCTTTATTCTTTAATGTTTAAACTGGTAAACACTTAGTGAGACTGGAGGCCCACAGTATGTACTTTTCCAACTTAATTACACACGCACAGGCGGTGCCGGTGCAATTAATTGCCATTTGTGCAATCACTTCTGTACAGTTTGACGGAGGGGACGCATTTTTGCCTAATTTTGCTTAAAACATGTACACATGTGTGCAAAATTCACCCATAAATACGCCAACATTACATGGCATGTATGATAAAATGCAGCAAAACAACATATTTTTTTGAACTTTTTGAAAATTGTTATTTTTCCTTTTTATAAAAGAATTGAACAAAAAGTGATTACAACGCAAAGCCGGCGGCGAGTTTGATTGCAACGCAGTGCGTTTTGGTCCGGATACAATTTTTTGTCCATAATGAGGGTTTTTTACCCTTTTGACATTACTCTTGTTTTTTTAAATAGAAGTACAACACTTCTCTTACTTTGATATCAGAGAAACCATGTTTTTTTTGTTTAAAAAAAATTTTATTTTTTAGGGGAAATAAAAGTTTATTTCCCATTTCCCTTTTTCCCCTTTCCTTTGGGAAATTTCCCTTTGGGTAGAAAGGTTTTGGGGTTTCCAACCTTTGATTAAGTAAAAAAAAACATATAAAAAAAATTTCCCCGAAAGGGATTAACAAAAAATACTTTTTTAAATACAAAAACCAATCTCTTTTTTTGAATGTCACTGTGTTATAGTACCTAAACGGGGAAAAACCCCAATTTCAGTCTTTGGCCCGTTTTGGGGTTTAAAATAAAAAAAAAGGAAATTCATAAATTTCAGAAAATAAAATTTGGGGTGCCCTTAAGTTTTTTGGGGTTTAAAATTTTTTTATCTATTAAAAAATAATGAAATTTTTTAAAAAAACATGTCAAACATCCTTTAATTTTGCCTATATGTCCTTTAATAATATTGCAAGCGTTTGTTAAAATATTAGTTATAAAGATTTTTGACAAGTTTAATGACCGGGTTTTTTTTGTTTGTTTTTTTGTTATTGTTGTTTTTTTTTTTACAGGTTTGGCCATTTTGTTGCCGAACCGCTTAGCTAATGTTTTGTTGCAATCGTTTATATACGGGCCATTTAACCCGTAAAAGTTTCATAACAAATATATAACACGAGCAAAGCGTCTTTTTTATTGAAAGAAATTGATTTTCTTCCAAAAATTGACAGCCATCCTAACTAAGATACATTTGCACTGTCGTCAATTATAAATCAAGTTAATAAAAAAAATTTAATAAGTAAGATTTGAATGTTTTATAATGCGTGTCTTTATACAGCATTGCATCTTAACATCAATGACATTTTGAGTTAAGGTAGTACACCCCTAATGGGGCACTATAAGGAACTGTCCAAGTTGACCAAACATAGGACAGTTTTATATGCCTTAAATGTCACCTGTATGCAAAATTTTAAACAAAATTTTTAAAACGTGTGGTTTATGAGTTATGGGAGATTTTTTTTTTTTTTCTGAACTAAATCTTTGCCATTAAGAAGGACTTTTTTTCAGAAATGAGGAAAACTCTAAATAATCTATAGTATTATCAACATATGAAAAATGTTTTCCTATTGCTCATTTGTTAAAAAAAAACCAATAATGACAATAAGGTAAAAATTAAACAAGCAAAATGATTGTTTTACATGAAATGTTTTTAATATGTATAAAAATGTAATCCGTAACCCCACCCACTTTTAAAACACTTATTTGGGACCATTTCCCAATGTAAAAATCCTTTTTTAAAAATATCCCTAAAAATTTTCCAAAATGGAGGGGCTGTTTTTTAAAGTTTGGCCTTAATTTTCTTAAAAACATGTAAAAATTGGGTTGGTCTAGAGCAAAATATAAAATTTACTTTTAAACCGTGAAAGTTTTTTTTTTTTTAAAAAAACCCTTTGGAAATATTGGAAATATTTTTTGCTTTTAAATTTTTTGGCATTTTTAAAAGAAAATAATCCTAAAATAAATTAAAATTAAAAAAAACCTTTTGGGTTTTACTTAAGGTCTGAGAGATTAATAAAAATGTTAAAAAAAAAAAAAGGAAAAAAAAAAACCCCCCGGCCCATCAGTAAACAATACCTTGACATTTTAAATTGAAACCCCTTTTTTGAATACTTTAAAGGGGAAATAGTGAAATTTAGGGGATATCCCCAAGACGCCCCAATATGCCCGGAAAAGGGTTATGACAAAAAATATGTCAACATGCCGGGAAAGGTGTAATGTACCCCCGCCTAAAAAAAAGACGTGAACATCCCGACCATCGATTTAAAATACGAAAAAATGGTTAGGGGGTAAATTCAATTTCCCAAAAAAAATCGCCATGTGCCTAATATATGTAACATAAACCAAATACAAATTATAAAGGACCACGGAAATTTTTCCCGGGGGTTTTCAATTAAGCTTTCCATTTTTTTTGCAAATCTTGTAAAAATAAATAAATATTTTTTTTGTCATTTTAGCATATAAAACATGTGAAATTTTACATCATATTTGGGCAAAAAGACAAGGCTATTGTAATGTACCCCCGCCTATGAAGACATGAAGTCGTCTCCCTCGACTTATAGAACACAACAAGTCGTCAAAATTACGACGACAAGTTTATATATACCATGTCATTTTGACAAAATATATGTCATCATGTCGAGATACGGCATCCCGACTTTCATACATTAATATATGTGTCGACTAGAAGTAACACGGATGTCGACATACTTATTGTCAACATACAGAGTAAAAAAATATAAGTTGTCTAAAATATGACAACAAAGTTTTTAAGGCATGTGATCATGTCGTATTATTAACGCAACTTTACAACATAATTTTATCGACAAACGAGATGCTGATCTACCAGGTACATGCGTGTCGACATACTTTTAGTCGACAAAGTGTACAAAAGAGAACAAGATGTCAAACAACATTACAACAAAATTGTATCACCATGTGTTGCCGTCTAACGATAGGACAACTTATGACTTGAGTAAAACGCTTGCACTTTTTGAATGGCCGTAACATTGAAGAATGAAGCTGGTACGTAAAACGATAATATATATTCTTATATTTTTTGTTCTAGAACTTGTTACAATAATTATTTTACACCATCCATTTTCATGTTTGAACTTGTAGGTAAAAAAAGGTTTCAGATCAATAACTTGACAATCTTGGTCTTGGCAAGTAGATGACCTCTATTGATTTTGGGGTCAGGGGTCAATGGTTAAGGTCACATTGACTTGGTATGTTAAAACAGTTTCCTATCAATACCTCGACATCCCATGGAACCTAGACATTTAAACTTATATAATGCTTTGCTTTGGTCAAAAAATGACCTTAATGGATTTTTGGGGTCAAAGGGTCATAGGTCAAGATTACATTTACATAGTAGGTAAAGACGGTCTCTGATCAATATCTCAACAACTCCTGGGCCTTTTACCTTCAATCTTCACAGGTGCATTGGACTTGGCCAGAAGATAACCCCTATTGATTTAAGGGTCAGAGGTCAGAGATCCTTGTACTAAAAATGGTTTCTGACCAATAACTCAACTTTTTTTTGGTTACTAGGTCAAAAGTCAGTCACATTAACCTGGCCACATGACACATTGGCTGCCGATAGGGGGCATACATGTTTAACAAACATATCCTGATCTCTTTATCTTTGTTGTATGTGAGTTTTTCTTGACATTGACTCATAGATGAACTTGGCGATAAAATTATTGTATTTTGCAATTTTAGCCACAATTCCCTAAAACTTTGTTATTTTTTTATTTTCACGTCATATTATTGCAGTGAAGGTCCTATATAGCTACTTTCCAGCATGACTGTCACAGACGCACCTTTCCTTCTGTAAAGACATCAAAGAATATTTAGTTGAACTTGACCTTGATCTTTATGTTTTTACCTGACCTTGACCTTGTCACTTAAGGTCAAATTAGAGAATTTTATTTTGTTATTCATTTATGGATTTATTTTATCTATTAGTATACTTGGACAAAAGAATAAAACTGACATATTTAGGAATTAAATATGACCTTGACCGATAAAGGAACTGACTGTCAAAAACAAATATTTAATTAAGCCGATAGTGTCATCACTTTGTTATATATTTATGGATTTAATTGATAATTTGGCACAACTGGCATGTTTAATAATTCATAAATGGCCTTGACATTATTTGACAACAAATTTTTGAAGTTTGCTAAAATTGTAAGTTTGCTAAAATTGCCATAGCGTTGATATTTGTTCACCTATTTGATTCATACATGCACAAAAGAACACATATGACAAAGCCGACATAATTCTGATATAACTTTGACCTTTAACTGACTATTGCCTTCAATGTTAAACAATTGGAATTTGCTTAAATTGTCATCAAGTTGTTATTTATCTTTGATTTGGTTCATTCTGGGACATAAGAACACTTATGAAAGAACAAGGTAATTTATTCAACTATGGCCTTAACTTATATGCCCTTGACAGGTCAAATATAGATTGAATTTGAAGTAAGAAAAGACCTAGCAAGGCCCAGCTAGAACGTGGCTCTTTATTTGCCAACTATATTACAACATGAATCCATTCCAATTAACATTATCACATGTATTGTGCATAATGCTTGAAATGTTTCTTCAGAAATAAGTTTGTTTACATGGTTTTTGTTTTATACTTATTTTGTTGACTGTTAAACTTTTTATTTATATAATCATTACTTATACAGTAAGAACACTGATTTGTGTGTGATATATTTCAGTTCACATGTATATGGAAGTCCTTGGCATGAAAATTGGTTTAAAGAAAAAATTTTAAAAAAACATGACAGAATATCGTTTCCAAACCAACTCCAAATGCTATATTTTGAAATGTTTATTCACGATATATATCATCTCAACTGTGCATTTTGGCTGGGTTTGTTTGTTAGTATCTTTTCAGTACATGATTTTTATGCTTCCCAAAAGGTGAGCATACAATGTATATTCGCCGCTTTGTTCGTCCGTCCACTATTCTTGTCCGAAACATAACTTTGAAACAACAAGAGGTATCAAAATGAAACTTTGTAGGTAGATCATGTAGATAGATTTCAATAAGTAGATGTGCAATGCACAAGAACTGTAGGTCTGCCTTGTCTCATTTTGGAATAATTGCCCTTTGTTTATTTTTACACTTTGAACTTTGTCCGGGACATAACTCTAAAACTATAAGAAATATCAACATGAAACTTTGTAGGTAGATAGATCTCATTGTGTAGAAGTGCAGTACCAAAGAACCACAACTGTCTTGTCTAATTTTGGAGTTATTGCCCTTTTTTCATTTTTACACTTTGAACTGTGTCCGGGGCATAATTCTAACACTTTAACAGATATCAACATGAAACTTTGAAGGTAGATAGATATTTGCAGTGCAAAAGAACCGTTATTCTACCTTGCCTTATTTTGGAGTTATTGCTTTTTGTTTATTTTCACACTTTCAACTTTGTCCGTGACATAATTCTAAAACTATAAGAGATATCAACATGAAACTTTATAGGTAGATAGATCTCATGGAATAGAAGTACAATGCAAAGAGCCATAACTAACTCTGCCTTGCCTAATTTTGGAGTTATTGCCCTTTGGTAATTTTTTTACTTTGAACTTTGTGACCATAAGAGGTTTGTAGGTAGATTGATCTCATTTAATAGAAGTGCAGCGCAAAGGAACCATAACTCTGCCTTGCTTAATTTTGGAGTTATTGTCCTTTGTTCATTTTGACACTTTGAACTATGTCAGGGACATTACTCTGACACTTTAATAGGTATATTTTTCTGTGTCCTAAACCTATACTCGGGGAGCATCAACCGGTTCTTGTCAAGAGTCTTGGGCATTACTTTCATATTGTACTCAGAAAAATGGGACTTATTCTGCGTTGAAAGTAGTAATGATATCAGCTTGGAACATCTTAAATAGATTGCTCTAAAATTCTCGATCTTGCAACAACTTGCGCCCCAACAGTGCTTTCAGCACTTTGATTATTAAATGGCTTTATTACACTCCTGCAACGTGAATAATGTGATAAAAAGAGTTATAATAATGTTCATAGGTTATTTTTTTTTATCTAAGTTATATGTATGTGTATTTCAGATATGGTTATGCCTGATACTTCTTCAAATCGAACGGGCATTGGCAGTCCTTTCAAACGATGAAAGAGATGTTGCGATTACGTATTACTACGGAAAAGGTTATACATATAAAGAAATATGTGGCTTTCTGCTATTTTCACATAATACCATAGTGAGTCTTCGTCAGTTGAAACGGATCCTTAAACGATTACGACTCCGAAGGCGGAATGTGCCGATTTCGTTACCGGATATAATACATGCTTTGTCCAATATTCTTGAAAGGGGCTTCGGTGAATGTGGATACAGGACAGTCTGGAAACTGATCAAATCTTCAACAACTGTACATGTGACACAAGACATAGTTAGACGTTTATTGAGAATTTGTGACCCCGAAGGTGTGAATTTGAGAGCTCGTCACCGTTTACGGCGCAGAACTTACACTAATAGAGGACCAAATTATGCTATACATCTAGATGGATATGACAAACTTAAACCCTTTGGAATAGGCATACATGGGGCGATCGATGGTTATTCTCGAAAATTACTGTGGTTAGAAGCGTGTTATACAAATAATAACCCGCATATAATTGCCGGATATTATCTAACCTTTCTAAAACGTATAGGACGCGTACCACGACTTGTTAGAGGGGATGCTGGGACTGAAAACGTTATAGTTCGTGATATCCAGGTTGCTCTACGATATGAACATTCTGACAATATGGCTGCAGTTAATAGTTTCTTAACAGGAACATCTCCTTCGAATCAAAGAATTGAACAGTTTTGGGGCACATTACGGGCTAGTTTCAGTGTGTTTTGGAGAAACCATTTTAAAGATATGACGGACAGAGGAATGTTAAACATGGACGATAGAATACATTTGGAAGTTTTAAGATTTTGCTTTCTGCCTATCATACAACGCGATCTTGACAAATTTACTCAAGTATGGAACCTACATAGAATTAGACGTCAAAGGAATTCTGAGGTCCCAAGTGGTATTCCTGATGTTTTGTATCACCAGCCAGAAGTGTTTCATTCGTACGATCATTCGCTTCCGTTACCATGCAATGTTGAAGTGATAACTCGTATACAAAATGACTATGCAAAAGCCAAACCCAAATTCGGATGCAAAGACGAATTCTTGCCAATTCTAGAAGAGGTGTGTGGTCTACCAACTGACCAAATACCAAGGCCGAAAACGGTCGACTTAGCGACTGATTTATTTTGTGCTATTACAGAAATAATTAATGACTTTTGAATGAATGGCGATATTTTCTGATTTGTTAGAAAAAACAGTTTTTCTCACAGTTGTAAAAGTATTACGAGACTAATGTTAGTTTATGTATTTGAGTACACATTGTTTATAACATTTGGAATCTATATATAAATGACAAATGAATAAAACATTGGCTATTAACATGAACAATGTCTTATTAGCTCGCATGCACCATAGGTGGAAAGTGAGCATTAACATTGACATTGATTTACAGCCCTATAATGGGTTCGCCCATATACACACATAGTACAAGTTTGTGGGCTCTACTCATCATTTTGTTATTGGATCATTTCAATTTTCATCCTTGCTTGCACGATAAACATGGATACCTTGTTGCCCAAAAATGAATAAATATTTCAATTTTTGTATCTGTTGACCATTAATTTTGCTGTAGTACTCATTGGTTAACTTAAATGTTTTTGATACATTGTACTTTCAAAAGGAGAAATACTAAATTAAGTTAAGAATTTTAAGACATTCATGATTTTCATGGCACTGTGTGCATAAATATCCATGCAAGTTTTTAATCTGGTTTCACAATGACATGTACCTTGCAAACCATGTTTCAGAAGAACATACAATTGTGGATAGACATTGCCATTTTTTAAGAAAACCTTTACATGATAAGAAAGAGAGAAAGCTCATAATCAATTCTTTATTATTTTTATGAAAAAAAATTATCAAACAGTTTATTTATCCCGTTATTACTCTAAACTTGGACAAAAGATAACTGTAAGAGGACCCCGGGGGTCCTGGGTTACTCCCCTGAGAACATCATTCACAAACATTTTCTTATATTTGACATAGGGACCGGGCTTTTGACCTCATGAGACCAAGATTGAAATCTCATATAGATTTTGACATGAGGAAAATTGTGACATAGTTTCACCCAGATTAGACCAGAATTGCGACATTTTGCATTTAGACAAGTTTTGCCTAAAATTTGCCAAAGTGACCTAGATTTATAACAAACAAGACCCTTATTTGGACTTTTTCTAGATATTGATAGGACAAAATTGTGACCAAACCTCACCAAGATTGGACTTATGTTGTGGCTTCTAGAGTGATAACAAAGTTTTGCCAATCAATATTTGACCTAGTGTCTTAGTTTTATTCCAACATGACCCACATTTGAACTTTGCCTAGATATTGTCTAGACAAACATGGTGTCTAAATGTCATCAACATTCGACTAAAATTGTGACTTTTAGAGTATAAACATGCTCTTTCTAAGATTTAGCCTTGTGACCTAGTTTTTATCCCGCATAACTCAGATTCAAACTTGGCCTAGCTATTGTTTAGAGTAATGCCCCAGACAAGGGAAAAGGGATACCCCTGCCACTGACGCAAGTAATACCGACAACAGTCTGGTGACACAAAAAAATGTACGAAACATAAATATAAGGATTTTGGTACATGTTCCACACATGTGTAACTTGGTTGCTATGACAATGTATCATAAGCAGTTGCAGAACAAAATATTTAATACTTTTATCAACAATTTAAACACCAAAATTTTGAAAATTTTGAAACAAAATGTATTCCTGACACGTAATAAAGCTGTTAGAAGTAAATTGATCAACAAATATTTGGAATTAAATTGACAAATACATCAGTACAAGGTCCTAACAATTAGTACTTTTTCCCAGCAAAGCATACAAAATTCACCACTTTATGATCCGTAACTGCACTAATACAATGTAATGCAAAAAATGTTAATTTGCACAGAAGAAACAAGTAAACAGTTACAGTTCAAAAGATACTTTTAATCAAAGTATGTACTAAAAAGCACAAAAGAAACAAGAGCTGTCACTGAAAAGTGACTTATGCCCCCAAAGAATGCTTTGACATAACATGCCAAATGTTTGCCAAAATACCAATAACCGCCTTTGATAAATATCATTTCTAAAATTTCCATTAGAAGTGTAGGAGAAATAGGTTAAATTTTAATAAAAGAAGCTTATTTACTAAAAAATTGAACGTTAAGAGGCCATAACTGTGCAAAAAATAATCAAGCGGCAAATCAAGGGAGTATGCACAACTATGCTTGGTGGCAAACAATCCTGTGAAGTTTTACTGAAATCCCCCCATCGGTTTTAGAGATGAAGCAAGGACAGGCTTATTTTACCTGAAAATTAAGCATTAAGGGACCATAACTGTGCCAGACAGAAATTCAAGCAGAAAAAAGTGTATGCATGTTTGCACAACTAGACATGGTGAAGTTTTACTTAAACCCCCCCCCCCCCCCCCAGCGGTTTGGAGATGAAGCGAGGACAAGCTAATTTTACTACAAAAATTAAGCATTAAGGGGAAATAAATGTGCGCCACCAAAAAATCAAAGGGAAAATCAAGGGAGTATGCAAAACTAGGCCTAGTGACAAAAAATCCTTTGAAGTTTCAATGAGCCAGGCGGTTTTGGAGATGAAGAGAGGACAAGCTAATTTTACTAAGAAAATAAGCATTAAGGGGCCATTACTGTGCACAAAAAAGTCAAGCGCAAAATCAAGGGAGTATGCACAACTAGGCATGGTGTCAAACAATCTTGTTAAGTTTCAGTGAAATCCCCCAAGTCGTTTCAGAGATGAAGCAATGACATGATTATCGAATGGGCGGAAAGCCGTACAGTGCGATTACTATATGCCGGGGACATAAAAAAGCTTCAAACAAAAATGAATTTCTAATTCATTGGCAAACATAAAATGGTTGGACAAATACCATAACTTGGTTTAAGCAAACTCTTGTTCAAAACAAAACTCTTGGAGCTCTAACAGCTTTTGAAGTAATCAATATTTTTTACCCCTTTGTTCACAAAAAATATATCACAAGCTTTTTACTTTTATATGAATTCGTAAAATAACTCGCTTGTGTACAATATTTCAGCAACACTAATGGTAATATAATTCATTATAAAAAAAGTATAGATCGATACGCTCGCTTCTTACAGGATTTTACAATGGAAGTGCTCCATTTTCTGATAATTTTGGTAAGAAATTATCCTTGATTAATGACTGATTGATTGATTGATTGTTTATTCAAGTAAAGTATGTGATTTCAAATGTTTTCAAATTATATATGATACAATATGTCACCAATATAATATAATTGCTTGCCGGACATTCTTTATCTTTACATATCAGGCGTATATATGTCTGTATTCTGTCCAACATCCGAGTGTGGAAGCTGTATTAACTGGGGTTACGGCCAATCCGTTCAGGGATGAGCTTGTCACATACTACTTCCGACTAGGATACACGTGGAAGGAGATTTGTGGGTTCTTGTTACACATAATGTTGCGATGACTCTACGACAGTTAAGATAATATATCTGCCAACGATTAGGACTAAGGCGAAATGGTCTTTCTTCGCCAATTCCAGATGACTGTATTAAATGAGATAAGAAAGCTACACAGAAGAGGTCTCGCAAATGCCGGATACCGTACAATATGGAGAATACTGAAGTCAGCAAACAAAGTGAATGCGACTCAATACACTGTCAGGCGTATATTAAAAGCAATTGATCTATCTGGTGTTTCCTTAAGGTCAAATCATCGACTACTTATATCAACAAGGGACCAAAAGAATATTATTATTCACATAGATGGTTACGATAAATTTAAGCCATTTTGCATAACAAAACTATAGACGGCTATTCGAGAAAGATTATGTGGTAACAAGCTGCTTATACTAATAATGACCCAAAGATAGTTGTCAGGTATTACCTCAATTATATCAAGACGATTCGTCAAGTTCTGATGATTGTTCGAGCTGATTTAGGCACAGAAAACTGTGTGATTCGGGATCTTCAAATTGCTTAACGATACCACCACGGAGATCTTATGTCTGGAAGAAAATGCTTCTTGTATGGAAGATCAACATTAAACCAACGAATAGAAAGTTTCTGGGGTGTTTTAAATAATAATTTCACAACGTTTTGGAAAAATCTGTTTAAAGATCTTCGCGACTCTGGATACTTGCATGACGGTGACCCCGTTCCCACTGAATGTGTTGATTCTGTTTTATGTTTTTAATACAAAGAGATCTTGATGAAATAGTAAACATGTGTAACTGTCATCGAATTCGTCGTCAACCTCAAAACGAGTGCCCCAGTGGTGTGTCACCCAATGTGTTGTACTATCAGCCTAAAATTTATAATGGTGTTAACTGTGGATATCCACTTCCATGTGAAGTTAATGACATCGATATTATTGCTCAAATGTATACAACCAAGTGTCCAACGTTCGGTTGTAAAGCTGCTTGAAGAAATAACTGGCAAGGACAGAGCCACACACTCTTGACAGCGCTATTCGTTTATTTAAAGAATTATCAGAATACCTTAATAACCTATAAAGTAACAAAGAAGGAAAACGAAATGCTTATAGGGCATACATGTATATTTAAACTATTTTAAACCTTGGAACCTTTTGAGATATTAGGTTCATCAGGGATCTAATAAAAGCTGTTTTCATAATGCTTACTTACACATCCTTATATTCTGTTGGTCAAAAACCATTATATACTGAACATTATATAACGTTTCCTTGAGAGTCCACTGTTGAAAAATATTTTTTAAACTTCGTAACTTTAAAACGTCAGGGAATCGCTCCGATAGATGCACCGCAGTGCTTAGGGTATTTTTTCTTTTGATCTAGCAGCATATTTAAAGAATATTAAAACATAGTTCTACCCGAAATTAACCAAAGATGTATTCCATAAAGAAGTTTATCGAAGCTTACAGAACATTTCTGTACTTTTTCGAAAAATACTGTGACGAAATAGATTCTCTATTCACACATCAATAGTAATTTGACGAATCGTTTTAAGGAGGACATTCGAAAAGCTATTGTGTTGAAAACACCGTTGTTTTAAATTGTACTATGTTTAAAAATTTTAAATAAGCTACTGGATACTTTATAAGAAACATTTTTAAACATTGTTTACAAACTTGCAACAGCGAACATCAAAATTAATTTAATACTGACATTTCTAGAAAGATATCTTGTTTTTATTTACTCGAGTATCGTTTTGTTGCAACTCATTTACTCCTTTAATATTTTAAACAGTCTAAAATGTGAAACTGTGTCCAGAAAGCATTATTATTCATGCCAGCTTGATTATTTCAGTGAAATGTTGTATATATGTACAATGTCTTTCTTTAATGTCTATTTTGTTCGTGTTCATCAATTTCATTAAATAAACTCTGTCATGGAAATGTTTTTAAATGCTTTCCTTCATTATCAAACTTGACTTATCCAGCACTTGTAGTCAATAATCAGTTAGTCTTATTGTTTGATTATTATAAGGTTAGCGGAAATTACGGAATCAAATCATTTGGACCATCGGTCTGTCCGTTTCTCTGCCACTAGACTAAATATCTTGGTGATAGCTTTGTTAATACATGCATAAAACAAGGAATTAGTAACGATTCGCCACAATAACGATTCGCCACATAACGATTCGCCACAGTCAAATAACGATTCGCCACAGTATGATTATAACAATAATTTTCTTAGTTTGACTAGTCCTAGTTCAATTTTATCAACATTTTTTTAAATAATTCGACAAGGACAATAATAATGTTTCTAAATTAATATAAGTAATGTGAAGTTATGGCCCAGCGCAGATTTTTCAATTTTAAGCATTTTGATAACAATACGTAAGCAATCTTTTATTTACAAGAACCCAAAAATTCTATCCAAAACAAAAAATAGTGATTTAAAAAAAATCCCATATATCACGGGTTTATATGACATATAAATCCGTGCATATATATACTACAAAAACTTTTTTATAGTATATATATACGGGATTTTTTTTTTTAAATCGTTATTTTTTGTTTGTTTGTTTTTGGATAAAATTTTCGGGTTCCTGTGCTCTTAATTATGTTTTTTTTTATATTCGGTGTACCTGAGACATTTTCCAATCTATTCCTGTCATATTACACTTAATTTAGCAGAAAAGACGTAATTGATGCCATTTTACGAGGTAACGCCGAATTCGTGAATGAAGAACTGAAGCAACGGCGGTTATCTCATTAAAAGTAGCTAAAAAATTTTTACCAGCTTCCTTCTATCGTTAAACGACACGTGCAGTTTGACAAATGTCTTAGACCTACATACAAAATATGAAACCATAATGTTTTAAATGTACATATTTATTTTACGAAAACACAAAAGTCACCTTCAATTTAAAACGGCAACCAGGTTGTCTTTGATTTAAAGAAGTAAACATATTCCAGAAAATAATTGTAATGCTAGTTAAAGTATAATGTAGTTGCCGTATGGGCTAATTCATTTCCTTAAATTTGATTTAGAATCAAATGTTTGGGTTCATTTCCTTACTGTACACGTGTTATTAGTTTGGGGAATAGCGTTGCACAGATTCGGCGTTACTTTTACGTTAACTTATTTGCACATTCCTGCGATACTCGATATGCACGGTAATATATGTCAATTAATATTTTTATTGATGTATATACATGCCAAATATAAAAAAACAGGTATTGCAAAAAAACAAAACAAAAAAAACATGCGTTCATTATGAAAATTCAACTCAACTCAACAACTCAAATAATTTTATTGGCATAAAACAAATAACAAGTTTATAGCCATACAAAATATAACCAGTTCAGTGATAATAGAAAGACATGCATGTTTATATCATTTACAGAAGAGTACTGTAAAGACAAATACATAGTATTTTTTCTAAACATTTTACGAAGTAAGATTTTATGTGATAACATAAACAATTACAATAATATACGGCGACACTGTGTTAATTTTAAACTATACAGTATAATGAAGTGTATTGATGTATTGATGTATATCTCTGTTTACCTAAAAAAACAATTCATATACATAAAGTTATGATTAGGAGACACGTAATTTTGTTGCAAAATATATAAATTTCGACAAACTTATAATAGTTGCGTTTGATGTAGAAGACATAAGATTTTTAAATTTCGTTAACGTAGGCCAGTGACAATAATAGTTCTTCAAATATTTACGCCTTAGTTCTCTATATTTGGGGCAAACTAACAGAAAATGGTATTCATTCTCTAATATATTCATGTTGCATGATAAACAGACCCTTTGATCTCGCAGCACATTGTTATATCTTCCGATTTCTATATTAAGTCTATGAGAAGAGGTTCTGAAGCGGGCTAAAGCATTTTTAAACCTTTGGTCAGTTATAACTTCCAAATACCGTTCTCTTTCGAAAGCGTGTTACGGACATAGGTATTCTAGCTAATTCTCCATAGAGTGCATTTAAGTTTGTAAATTTTTTTTACACTTAACATACGGCGCAGGAAGTTCGTGTGAACATGCTCAATATCGTTAGCAGGGTGCATACCCCATATTTCCGATCCGAAATTTAAGATGGGCGATACCAATGAATCAAATAGCTTACATTTCTGATATATTGGCAGTTCTACGTTATTTAATATTGTAAAAAGATTGTGTAGCGCATAGCGTAATGTGACGAATCGTTAATGTGGCGAATCGTTACATTACCAAAACAAGTACCACAACTCGTGTAAACAAAAGCTGTCACTTGACAGCGCGCGTTCGACTATTCTCAGTGCTCGATAGTATAATATGCTAAGTCGAATATGAGGCATATTTGTGACAAAATGTACGACAGAGTTACCTGCCCCTGTCTAAAGCTTTGAATCATGATTTCAAAGAACAGTGCAAAGTATCAAAGCAATATCTCATTGCACTTTGGTTCAGTCGCCGACTTGTTTCCAGATTTTTATACATCACAACAGCAGGTGTCAAGTGCTGTGTGGCAGCTGTAAAAAGTTGCCCCGTACTTCACTTCAGTGTTGTTATATTTTTCTGGTCCTTCGGGATCATTATTGAGAATTGAGTACCGCTCAAGCCGGTGCTAGGGGCGTGAGGGATGTTGCACTTATTCATTATCCCTCATGTACAGACTCAATCAAACCGAGTCTGCAATTCTCTTGTAATTTTGTTGTGATTAATGCTTCCGAGGGATCTCTTTGTTTCCAGATTTTTGTAATCAAAAAGCGTCTCACTGATAGGGGCGTGGGTCTGAAACCCCGTTTTTACCAAGTGTCTTTATGTGGGAAAAGTTGGCAGTTACTTGCGGAGGATGGGTTTCTAGTAGAAACATTGGTTAGGTAATTTTCCGCCTGATATAACTGAAAGCACTTAAATAACATTTGGGGTTATACCAAAACTTTGTCATGAATTTATCATTTTTCTATGTGGAAAAAGGCGCATAATTTTGATGAAATGCTTGATAGAGTTACATTCGTTTGTCTTTTGATTGGGATCATAATGGTTAAAAAGTGTGGAATGTTTCAGAACAATATTTCAAGAGAATTTGAAAATAAATGGGGGTGTATCAAAACTTTAATATTAAAATTACACCAACGCCGATGCTAACGCAGAGCTGGGGTGACTTGAATAGCTCTCCTTATTCTTCGAAAAGTCGAGCTAACATTGAAATTGAATGTACTCTCAAGACAGCTCATCAGAATTTGGTGAACCTCTTGTATGCACACTCAAATCCTCTTTGGCTTTGCAGTATATTCCCATTCTCTCTGGTTGTATTTTGAATTCATTATAAATTATGATGCTTTTGTTGATGTGTTACACAAATTCTTTCTACAATGCATTGTCCTATTATGTTGGATATGTATGTGTTCAGTTCCCTCTATAGGATGCACTGCATCTCACTAGTATGTATTCTTCATAACGTATTGCAATATTGTAATATTTTTGTTTTAGATATTTCTATTCTCTCCAGTATGTATTCTCAAGTCCGCTTTACAGCACATTTAGATTATATTAGGAAAATGTTCAATGGCTTTCTCATTATGTATTCAGTATATGTTAATCTTATTTTGATGTTTCATTACCAGTAATGGATTTCCTATGCACCTTAGACTACTATGACAATGTATGAGTGTACGGGTCTTGTATACTTAGTCTACAGTCTGGTATATTACAGCATAACATGTCAAGAATGGTCAGCTATGTCACAATATGAAGTGGCTACTATAAACAGGTGACCACTATATACAGGGTTTTTTTTAGTTCGGAGGTGATATGAGGGTTATTAACCATTTTAGATGGTATCTTAAAAACGGTGTTGAAAACAGTGTTACACCATTTATTCTGATGAGGTTTTCTAGACATTTCCTTCTCATTTCCAAACTACGATGGCATGAAGGGGACATAGGAAATATTGTTATCTATTACGTGCACACGCGATAATATTACGTGGCAACATGATAAATTATTATGTGCTCACGCGATAGCTACTGTGTGGCCATGCAATAACTATTGCGTGCGCATGTGAAAGTATAACTTGGCCACAGGACAGCATTACATGAGTCACGTAATGCTATCATGTGCGCACCTAATAGTTATTGAATTGCCACGTAATACTATCGCGTGCGCATGTAATACCTATCGCAAGGCCTCGCAGTAGCTATTTAAACTATTTCAATGGTCCCAAATGATTTGATTTAAACCTGTAAGTGCTTTATACACGTAACAAGCTAGTGATTAAAATCTGATGCTAGGAGTTAAAAAATCAAAAGAAGCACAGTTTTAAACTGTTCTACAGTATATTTTATTTTGACAAACTATTACAAAAGTTTTAAAACTCTCTACCCACTTGCAAAGTTTCGGGCTTTAGTTCTTTTCAGGCTATCATAGGTAGCATATTTTCGGAACTGACAGAGATTAGAGCTAAAGTCCCCTCAGGTAAAACTGGTGCAGTACAAATTATATGAGAAACCGTTAAAAATTACAAACATTTGATAAAAACATTTGCATTGCACATTCTTGGCAAATAAAAAAGCATACAATTCAGGTGTTCAAGTAAAAATATAAAGATAAGAACAGAAATACTGTAAAAAGTTATAATTCTTACTTTCCTCAGTAAACTGACTAGTATCAAACAAAACCCAACAAGAGCTGTCGGTAAGACAGCGACGCTCGACTATTCTTAGTGCTTGAAAGTAAAAAAAGCCTGATTAAAAGGTAAAATTTTCTCAGTAAAGAAAAAGGCAAATTTTTTCTTTAAATCCATATTACAGTTATAGGCATTGGAGAGAGTCCTATTTATAATGCTGTCAAAGAAAGTATAAAATTTCAACATGTTTGAAAAACTTATGAACTTTGAAAATATTTGAGGTATTACAAAAACTTTTAAAGTAAATTCTAAGTCAGAAAGGGACATAATTCTGTCAAAATGCTTGAAAGAGTTACCACCTCCTGTTTACAAATTGGGGTCATGATAGTGAACAAGTGTGCAAAGTTTCAAGGCCATATGTCAATGGACTTTGAAAATATTAGAGGTTTTACAAAAACTTTAACGTAAATTCTAAGTAAAACAAGATTGCATTTGAGAAAAATGCTATGCCACCGCATTAATACAACACTAAATAGTAGTGTCTGAACAGATTTTTTTTGTTTCTATACAATTTTGAAGATTGTCATAATGCATAGATCCCTGACCTATCTTATTCTTATTATCAGATTAGTGGTTAAATCTGTTGTTAACTCAATAAAAGATCAGAGTAGGAATATATCAATGCACTCAAGTCTAGTGAATTTGGTGGTGAAGGTCATATTTCACACAGCCTAAATTTC